TCTTTACTGTAAGTTCTTCCTGGCTGGCGTTTGGGCCAAAGCTCCAGCTTTGTTTACCGTTGCGCTCTCCATCCCGTTGAGGAATCCTGTCGCTGTCCGCCTCCTCAGCAAGCGGCGTTTTCTTCAGAAAATGGTCGGCGCAGCCTCGCCTTTCCAGCCAGTCCACGCTCGAGCAGCTCAATGACCCCACCCTATACCCTTTTGGACGTTAAACGCGAAGCCCTAAACCCTAACCCTAAACCCTTTTGACCCTAAACCCCAAACCCCAAACCCCAACCCTAAACCCAACAGATCCCGACATGAAGCAAGGCACGGCGACAACAAGCCCGAAAACGATCGTGGCTGTCGCCGCCAATGTCCTGCGCGTGACCTGCACATGGGCATGACACCTCAACAAAGCCCAAGAGTCAAGATCATAAAAGACGCAGGAAGCGCCAGTGAGTTGAAGTCCACTTCCCGCGGAGTGTGGAAAAGTGGTAATTCTCATCTGCGGCTATCAGAGCACGAGATTGGCAGAGTGAAATGCAGTGAAATGCATGCATCCACGGAACTTGTCGTACAGCAACTATTGTTCCATTGGTGTACTCGCAGGGCATGCAATCTGAGGCAGACTGCTAGCCACATAATACAGGGGCCTTAACAACTAGAACAGGGTGTTGGGGGGGTTTTAATGGATGATAACTAAGGGGCCACAAGGGAATACTATTAGTCATTTGTCCGACCCCAAGAGTGGAGCTCACGCCCAAAACCATCTCGGCCCCCAACGCCCCACCCCCGGCGATGACTGCAACTTCAGGCTGCTTCAAGAGCGCTTCTCACTATCATTACGATGAGGATTTGGAATGTTCTCCCTTCTACTAACAGTCCTTAATAGGGATTTTGAAGCTTTGAGCGGCGAGCCGACTTCGAATCAGCTATGCATCTGCCTCCTCGCCCAGGAGGGTGCGGGCAAAGAAGACCTGGCACCCCATCTCACAGGGTTTAGGGTTTAGGGTCTAGGGTCCAGGGTTTAGGGTTTAGGGTTTAGGGTCTAGGGTCTGGGGTTTAAATAGGGTTTAGGCATGACATCCACTGAGAGAATCGCAAAACAATACCGGGGGCTGGGGGCCTCAACAGCCTTGCCGCACCCCTGAAAGGGGAGACTTTTTGAAGCCCATGCCCGCAAGTCCCCCAAAAACCCTAAACCCTAAACCCTAAACCCTAAACCCCTTTTTTTTGGCGCATCTGCCACCGGGGCACGTTGGAGACAAACTGCACAGCTCCCAGGGCCGCCAGGAGGGTCTGCGGCGCCAGGCTCAGTGACCTTTTCGGGTTTAGGGTTTAGGGTTTAGGGTTTAGGGTTTAGGGTTTCGGGTTTAGGGTTTAGGGTTTAGGGTTTAGGGCTTAGGTCGGTTAGGATTTGTGGGTTTAGGGTCTAAGGTTTAGGGTACATCCAGGCCATCGGAATTGTGTAGGTGGCATGGTGAGCAACACCCAAAGTCTGCACAGGAGCAGCCTCCAGGGACCCTGCCCAAAAGCAGAAAGTATACCACAAGAAGTAGCTTAGCCATACGTTGGGAGTTTCCAGGGAGGGTTTTTTTGGTATTGAAGGGCTTCTGGTTTGCGAGCTGCACAGGCTGGCTGCAGGCTGCCTGCCACATTCGCTGCGTATCACTGACTAGTTGTAAGTAGCCTTAATTATGGGAGGCACCTAGGGGGGGTAGTATAGGGGGTAGTAGGGGAACCCATGATTATATTGTCGTCTCTTTTTTCGTGGGTCTGCAGTCTGCAGCGCAGTGTCCTTGGCTACTCTGCGGGCAGGACGCCGGAAGTTGAGGAGGTTGCCGGCGGCGAAGAGAGATGCTCCGACATACCTCTCAGAGAGAGATTTTTCGAGTCTGGGGGGGCAGCACATCTTCGACTCATCGGAAACAAGGCCTGCAAAGCTTGGCACCCTGACGAAACTACGCTCTTCACCCCCAACACCCCTGCTCCCCCCCACCCGGCGGGTTTCGGGTTTAGGTTTCGGATATAGGGTTTAAGGTTTAGGGTTTAGGGTTTAGGGGGCACAGTTCGTGTTCATGCGCCAGCCATAGAAGCCCAGGCGCCAAACAATGCGCCAGGCTCGCTCCTCAGCCCGTCGCACCACGCCCAGCTTCATCAGGTTCGTGGCACCTTTTAGAGGGTTTAGGGTTTAGGGTTTAGGGTTTAGGGTTCAGGGTGCAAGTTTCGACGTGCTGGCTTTTGGGTCTGTGAGTGTCGTTGAGGCATTGGGGGCTTCCCAGTAGGTGCTGAGATCCACGTGACAGCAGCTTCGGAAACAGGCTCTGCACAGGGGTTCCCGCTTACCCGGCGCAAGGGTTTGGGGGTCAAAAAATCTGAACACAAATACGCACCTGAGACTCTGAGAACAAAGGCATCTACCAGTTTCTTCTGCGTTGGAGGGGGATCTGACGAAGGCGCCATTGATGGTGAGGCTGCCAATAAGGTTCAGGAGCACACCATACCAGAGATCGTTCATGGCACAGATAACGCGCTACGTGTGGGTGTGGCTGATGTTGGTGGTGTCTCCCTTCTCAGAAAGGGGCATCAGGCAAGACTACTGTCGAAGTGGGAGTTTGACGTCGGATCCAGCCGCGGCTTTTGCTCACAACAAAGCAGGACGGTTTAGGGTTTAGGGTTTAGGGTTTAGGGTTTAGGGTTTAGGGTTTAGGGTTTAGGGTTTAGGGTTTAGGGGTGCAAAGTCTCGGCACAGCGCACGGCTTCTGCTATGTTGGTGCGAGCTGGCGAGCCACGAGTTCCAGAGCTGTGCGTAGCAGAGAAAGGGGCGTAAGGGCCTTGGCTCATTGGCCTAACAAACAGCGCAACTGGACATGACCGAGGTCTGTTGTTGGGGCGCGCAAGCTGTTGGGAAGATGACGCTCGTTGGAGCACGCCAGGGGAGCCTACGTACAGTAGCACAGAGAGGAGAGGGATGTGGCAATGAATGCGCAGAACATGAAACTACCGAAAGTCATGGGCGTGCGGGCAACCCAAGGGTTCTGACATGCACGGCTCTACCAACATGACCCATACGATCCCGGACGCCATCCCAATGAATAATGCGCCGCAGCTCGGGTTTTCCCTTTGCCCGTCCACTCGCGCAGCTTTGGCTCGACCGGGTCTACGGCAACGTGGCAGTGGAAATGATGCGACTCGGCGTGGGGTACGCGACCTTGGGGGGAGGAGCCGGGATTTGGGGCTTAGGGTTGTTAAGCTTGAGTTTTGTCATAGTTTAGAGTCTAAAAGGGTTTAGGGTTTATAAGGGTTTTATAAGGGTTTTATAAGGGTTTAGGGTTCGAGGACTGAGAGGCATGGGAGCAGCGGAATGCAGTGGATGTAGCGTTCGCCGAGTCAAGCTTCGGAGGCCTGTGCCGCTCGATTGTCGAGCTGCATGCAACAAGCCAGCTCTGCCTTCAAGCACTTGAAGTCCTTTCAACAGGCTTCGTACTTCGCCTGGAGCCGCTCGCAGCTGGAGCTTCAGCAGCTTTACTGACTAGACCCAAAACCCTAAACCCTAAACTTAAAACCCTTTCGCATCCGGGCTTGGTTCGTGGGCCACCCTTTTTTGCAACTGGAACACACTGCGTAAGCCCTAAACCCTAAACCATTGTGCCCTAAACCTTCGTCCACCTCCACCACACTATGCGGGTTTAGGGGACAGACGATGGGTTGTTGTGGAGAGACCCTTTACTTTCAATAGCCCAGCGGAGCTGGTTGTAGCTGGCCCTGTCATTGGCTACGTTGCACCTGCCCCTCTTTGAGGCGCTCGGTGTCACTGGACACCCCCCGTGCCCAACAATCTAGCCTTTTCAGCTTGTCACGAATGGAACCTTGTTAGGGTTTAGGGTTCTGGGGTTTCTGTGTGTCGGTTTGTCTGAAACTTAACTACATCACAGGCGGCTCTCTTATGCGGCATCAGGGGGCTGCATGGGGGGAGCTTCTCGAGCGCCGCTCAGAAAACCTAAGAAGTCCACACCACGCTGCGCTGCACTTCCACATGGGAGTTTCCGAAATTAGGGGTACCAAGGAGGGAGGTCAAGGACACGCTGGAGAAGCCCCCGACACCAAAGGAACAAGGCCTTGGCGCTGGGAATTTGTGGTTCTTAAAGGCCCTGAGGCACCAAGCATCTACAGCCCAAAATCTCCGAACCCACGGGGCAGGTTCTGCAATGATCGTTCTGACCACCCTGCACTTTTGGGGCCAGGCTAGGAGTACCCTGTCTACCCCCCCCCCCCACATACTGCACTCATGCGGAAAAAAGGAAACCCCCCTAAAGTGCTCAGAACTGCCACCGCGGTGGCGCTTTCGGCAGGCCCTGAGAGACGCAGTGGTTACCGTCGTTGTCGGCTTTTGGGCTTCTTAGGACTGCGAGCTTTGGGATTCTTGGGGTCGTTGCTTTTGGAGGTTCTTCACCAGGCCGTTGGGAACTCAGGGTTGCAGGTCGGCCATGAAATCGGGCTCAAAGAGTGCGATGGCCACAGCTCATGGGGTTTGCTGGGGTGGCTCTGGGTTTAGGGTTTAGGGTTTAGGGTTTAGGGTTTAGGGTTTAGGGTTTAGGGTTTAGGGTTTAGGGTTTAGGGTTTAGGGTTTAGGGTTTATGGTTTCGGGTTTAGGGTTTAGGGTTTAGGGTTTAGGGTTTAGGGTTTAGGGTTTAGGGTTTAGGGTTTAGGGTTTAGGGTTTAGGGTTTAGGGTTTAGGGTTTAGGGTTTAGGGTTTAGGGTTTAGGGTTTAGGGTTTAGGGTTTAATCGCTCACACTCGGACAAGCCAGGCGAGGCACACGGGTTTAGGGTTTAGGGTTTAGGGTTTAGGGTTTAGGGTCCTAATTACAGCCTTTCGGGTTAGTGACTAAGCCACACGCGCACTGAAGGTCTCGCACGGTTTTTTTGAAACGACTACAAGGAAACTCTCGCTGGAAGCACGCTTCACTGCGGCAAGGCACTGGGAACCCTCAACTCAAACAACCCACACAACCCACCACTTACTTGAACCCCCAAAATAGCGATATCCCCAACCGAAAACCTCTAAAGGCCCCTGCAATAGCCCCGATCTGAATCCGATCTTCTGTAAGGCCAAGCCAAAGAAGGCCTTGGCGCGCAACACAAGACATCCCAAGCACTCACAGGCCCCCTTTATCAACAGTACTCACAAAAAGGCCCTCACGTGCCCCTCCCTCCCCCCCCCCCAAAAAAAAAAAACAAGCCCTTCTTTTTCTACCAGGACTTTCCCCTAAACCCTCAACCCTCAACCCTACACCCAACCACCCGACAACTCTGGGATTTGCGCATTGAACCCGGAGCGGGCGCAGGCGGCGCGTGCGCGCCTGGATGGGGAACCGGGGCTTGGGGGCAGGGTTTCACCAACCCTAACAAGCCCAACCCTAAACCCTAAACCCTAAACCCTCAACCCTCAACCCAAACCCTAAACCCTAACCCTAGCCCCGTGTTCTGTTGCAACCCAAACTCCTCTCCTGTCAGCTGAACCCTAAGCCCTAAAACCCTCTGTCAGACTACTGAGGGCACCTGAAGAACCCAAAACCTACATTTTTTGCAGGTTCTTCGCGCAAAACCCCCCTCATAAAATTCCTAGGCAACCGACAAAAAAGTAGGTTTTGGGTTTTTCAGGGCAGGGTTGAGGGTTTCCATTCTTCAAACGACACCCCTTGGGATGTCCCCCTTTATACTGGCAGTCCTTCATAGGAAATAAAGTACCCCAATTCTACCCCTAAACCCTAAACCCTAACCTTCATTGGAAATAAAGTACCCCAATTCTACCCCTAAACCCTAAACCCTAATCCCTATTAAGGAGGTCTTAGTATAACGGGGAACATCCCAAGACACCCCCGGAAAGCGGCCACCTGGCCCCTGCCAGCTCGAGGCCTGGGACGACACCTTGGCCAGGGCTTCCCTCAGCTGGCCCACAATATGTTTTAGGGACAATATGTTTAGGGTTTAGGGTTTGGGGTTTAGGGTTTAGGGTTTGGGGTTTAGGGTTTAGGGTTTAGGGTTTGGGGTTTATGGTTTAGGAACCATGTATATATAGATATATGTGAGTATATATATAGAAAAACATTGCTTTCTGGCTTTGTAAGGAGTATATAGGGATTAAAGGTAGCAAGAACAGAAAGCTATGTTCAAACCCAGCCCTGAGGGGGCCTTGATTCTCATAAACTAGCGGCAAGCAGGCGAGGCTCCGGCGTTTCGGGTTTTTTGGGGTTTTTGGGCTTTGCTGGGGCTCGAGTTGTTCTCCATTTGCAGGTGCTCTAGTGACTTGTTGATTTCAGGTGGTGGCAGAGGCTAGGCCACCTAGAACCCAGGTGGGCACAACTGCTGGAGGAGCGTGGAGAGGACTTTGAGTGCATGGGAACTCTTGTCGCCTGCTCTGGACCCTAGGTCAATGCTTTTGTCTCTGGCCCGCAACCAAGGTTCGGGCCGTTCGTCAGTTTCGGGCGCCACTTCCTGGCCACTGTCTCGTTCGCATGGCCAGCAAGGAAACCCTCTGAACCACCAACCCTGCTATCACTAGAAACACGCACATAAGTCCCGTAGGCTGTATGAAGTGTTTGGGTTTCGAGTGCAGCTGGTATTTTACCCTGAGATCCGATTTCTTCCTTGAAAACGACGTATCGAGTAGGCCCTACTTCAAACCTCTGAACTGCTCCCTGCCCTTAGCTAGAACACAAACATCGCGAGTGTTATTGAGGGTTCTGTCCCCCAGAGAATACGCCAAACCATTTTATTGCCGGTCAATGGAGAATGGAGTAGCCACGATAAATTCGCTTCAAGCAACTCTTCCCGCAATTTTCCCAAACGCCCGCTTGTGAACTTCTTTCCTGCACCTGCACCTTTCGTCCCCAAACCCCCCTGCCAGGCTGGTTTCATGCTGGGATTGATACTTTTGGGCTTGGGGGGGTTTACGGCTCACTTTGAATTCGGACGCAAGAATTCAAGGGGGGTGAACCCTAAACCTAAACCCTAAACCGCCCGCACATTTCGATTCCAGGGTGGTTGCCCCCATGTCTGCGACGGGGCCCACGCATGACAGGCTTCTCAGGACGGGTCTCCACCGACCGGCCTGGTCTGGTGGGCTGGGCCAGGTTCTAGACAGGGTTTAGGGTTTATAGGGTTTAGGGTGTAAGGTTTAGGGTTTAGGGTTTAGGGTTTGGGGTTTAGGGTTTGGGGTTTAGGGTTTAGGGTTTAGGGTTGAAGGCTTAGGGCTTAGGGCTTAGGGTTTAGGGTTTAGGATTTAGGGTTTGGGGCAGAATTCCCAAGGTCAAGTGCTTCCTCGACCTCGACCTGCCCTGACCTAAATCTTTCGCACGCTGGACTCGAAACAACTAAAGTAACTAAACCCAAGATTTCCTGGCTCGACACATTTGGGAGCTGATAGCTCTGAGATGAACTACGCTGCACGGAAATCAGAATGCCAAGCGCCTCTAAACCGGAAACCGGAAACCCGAAACCTTGAAACCCAAATCGCC